TATCATAGTAATATCATTTCTGTGTGGGATTTACTGCAATCACAATAACTAATCTCGCATTTTCTTTCCCATTGTTCAACAATTGAAATGAAAAAAAATCACACGCAAAATCTTAACTACGGTTGTTCTTATCTCAATTGTTGAACAATGGGAACGAAAATGCGAGATTAGTTATTGTGATTGCAGTAAATCCCACACAGAAATGATATTACTATGACATCAAATTTAAAATGTTTGATTTTGTTTTAAAAAAACCTATTCCTCTGCAAGTTTCGCCCAAGTTTCTAAAAATACAGTAGTTGAACAGCGAAACGATTAAGAGGTCTCAAATAGTAATATAAAATAAGGAAACCAAATGACACTGATGTTTGCAAACTACAGGTCGCCGCTCGGCCTTCAACAATAAGCTAAAACCAATTCGCACAGCAAGCTATCAAAGACCCGACATAGCAAAATGTAAAACAATTCAAATTTTTTTTTCTATGATAATATTATATATCAATAGAAAAATGGAATGACTAAAGACCTTATTTACATATCAGCTTTTACAAAATATTAGTAATGAAATAAGATAGCATGTACATATTTTCAACAGTGCATTTTATAACTTTTGCTAATTTTCTAATGAGACGTGACGTTTTGCTCGGTAGAGATGAAAATAACAAGGAAGAATTTAATAGTACATGCAACAGCTTTGTAATGTGTCGCAGACGCGTTTATTTTAAACAAACGAGGAAGCTTTTTCATAATCATTGTAGCGTGTATATAATTATATTATTTTGATACAGTGGAACATAACATTACTGTGGGACCAAATCAAACATTTTAAATTTGATATCATAGTAATATCATTTCTGTGTGGGATTTACTGCAATCACAATAACTAATCTCGCATTTTCTTTCCCATTGTTCAACAATTGAAATGAAAAAAAATCACACGCAAAATCTTAACTACGGTTGTTCTTATCTCAATTGTTGAACAATGGGAACGAAAATGCGAGATTAGTTATTGTGATTGCAGTAAATCCCACACAGAAATGATATTACTATGATATCAAATTTAAAATGTTTGATTTTGTTTTAAAAAAACCTATTCCTCTGCAAGTTTCGCCCAAATTTCTAAAAATACAGTAGTTGAACAGCGAAACGATTAAGAGGTCTCAAATAGTAATATAAAATAAGGAAACCAAATGACACTGATGTTTGCAAACTACAGGTCGCCGCTCGGCCTTCAACAATAAGCTAAAACCAATTCGCACAGCAAGCTATCAAAGACCCGACATAGCAAAATGTAAAACAATTCAAATTTAAAAACAAAGGGAATGGACACGTATGCAATATATAATTAAGAATGGAAACGGGGTGTATGTCAAAGAGACAACAACCCGACTAAAGAGCAGACAACAGCCGAAGGCCACCAATGGGTCTTCAACGCAGCAAGAAAATCCCGCACCCAGAGGTGGTCCTCAGCTGGCCCCTAAATAAAATTGTGTACTAGTTCAGTGAAAATGGACGTCACACTAAACTCCAAAACATATAAATGAACTAAAATTAAAAAAAAAACATACAAGACTAACAAAGGACAGAGGCTCCTGACTTGGGACAGGCGCAAAAATGCGGCGTGGTTAAACATGTTTTGTGAGATATCAACCCTCCCCCTATACCTCTAGCCAATGTAGGATAAAGAAACACATAGCAATACGCACAGTAAAACTCAGTTCAAAAGAAGTCCGAGTCCGATGTCAGAATAGGTAACAAAAGAAACTAACCAAAATGACAATGATACATAAATGAACAAAGGACTACTAGCAGTTACTGACATGCCAGCTCCAGACCTCAATTAAACTGATTGAAAGATTATGTCTTCATCATATGAAAGTCAAGTACAATCCCTCTCGTTAGGGGTTTAGTATCATACCATCATAAAATATATGAGAAGAACATTACCCGTATCATGCCAACAACTGGTTATAGAATAGATGTGTTTATTTCCGATGCAAAGACCCTATGAGTGATTCAATATTAATACCAAAATATGCAATCCTTAATGACTTGACAACAGTATCGTAACTATATCCTTTCCGAATAAGTCTGTTTAAAGGTTGTTAGATTTTCCTTAGTAAACACTTAAGTTAATGAAACTCAGCACTTTTTATTTAAGTGGTATGCATACAAAATCTTAAACTAAGTATTTCCTAAGTAAAATCTTAGTTGTTTTAAGTCACGCCTACACAACTTAAATAGCATCCTAAAACCCCTTATACTAAGAAAACGCCTAAGATTATACTTAAGCCTAATGTACCTATACAGCTACCTTACATTTTTAAAAATAGTTAAAAATTAGTCGAAAGTATGCGTTTTTGTAGAACATTAATAGATTAGCTACCATTTAATTGATTTATAATTATATCAATAATAGTTCGTTTGTTTATTGCTAGATATTAACGATCATTGTAATTTTCACAAATACGTATAGTCAACAAATCAAGAGATAACAGAGGGTAGTTATTCAAAGTTATATGAAACCTCAAATTTAAAAAAAACAGTTGAACATGTTTTATATACTTGAATAGCTAAGGTTAACTCTAAAAGAAGTAAACGTATCTTTATTTTAAAAGATAAACCTTTATATTATCAAAATCTTTATAAATGTACCGATATTGATTTATTGACTTCCTAGACATTATTTCGCCGATATTTTACCGTATGCAGTGACCTTAACTACGAGAACTCTCGTTATAACTTCGGCCACCGCACAGCGCAAGTGCGAGGGGAAACCGTGAAGAAAGAATGTAAAAACACGTGCTCTTGAAGGTAAATAGAAATAACAGATTCTTAAAGAACAAATTTGATACAATCTGAATATAGTCATTTTCATAATGAGTAGAATTAGCAGGAGCAATATAAACATGTTAAACAGCACACAAGTATACGTCATATATAAAGCCACAGAAATTTTTGTCTAGTTTAAGCCATAGTCTGTTTTGTGAATTAGTACCTACTTGAATATGAGATATTTTTTTTAAGGGTATATCTGTATCCCCCCATTATGTCTTATTGCTTTTTTCTTCTTTCGTCTTATTTTAAAAAAGGTATTAAAACCAGAAATGTTATATTTTTTACATTCTCCCTTCCAAGTTTCTAATAAGACTTTTTAAACTATTTAGAAAAAAAAAATCATCATTTGATTTGCATAAAGACCATAAATATTCCAAGCAGATATAGTAAGTTGTTCAATTAATGTGTGTTGATTCATTACTACTCAAAAGTGAAATGAATGACTGAAAACCAGTTATAAAGCTTAGTAATATATCTATAACATTATCATAATCCTGTGTCAGTATACATGTATCATACATCTGTTGAATATTTTATTGATTCTTTACCTGAAACAAAGGTGAACGTTTTTCAAAACTTAAAAGTACTAGTCACAGTGGATAAAAAAAGACGACTTGACTAGATAAGCAACGCTGAATATCACTACCTTGCATTATTCGTTAAAGTTAGTTTTAACAGACACGTTGTACAGAACAGGCAACATGCACAAGCAAACTCTGATTTATTTAATGTTCTTGATAGTTCAAACAGGTAAGAAATTACTTTATTTTTGATTGTTCACACATATAATGGAATTTTATGCGACTGTCATACAAGTGAGAGGTTTTGCTAGCTATAAAACTAGGTTTAATTCACCATTTTCTACATAAGGAAATGTCTGTACCAAGTCAGGAATAAGACAGTTGTTTTCCATTGATTTGACATGTTTGGGCTTTTGGTTTTGCCGTTTGATAAGGGACTTTCCGTTTGAATTTTCCTTAGAGTTCGGTATTTTTGTTATTTTACTTTTTAATTGTTAATTATCACACCTTTAATGACTTTTATGTACATATAATGAGATGGACACATATGATCGATGTAGCCTACAACATATATTTTAGACTCAAACATACATTTATTATAGTAAACCGGAACAATTGTTTGTTTACCTTTAGTGTTGACCTTATCAGCAAAACAGATGAATTAAAAAGAAAAAGACTTAATAATATACATCTAGTGGGGTAACAGTATTCCGTCAAATTTGATTCTTATATAAAATGTTGGTTGCTCGTTACATTAAGAGGTTGGAATAACAGGTGCATTGTTAAATTTGTTGACATCTACTGGTCATTGTAGATTTTCTGAATGGTTTTCTGTCCCGTCTAGATTTTGTTCTTGTAACTGAAACCCTTTCCTTCATCCAGGCGGAACTCCTCTCTATTGGGGACTTTCCGTTTTGAATTTTCCTCTGAGTTTGGTATTTTTGTTATCATACTTTTTGCTGGATTCATCACCAGGCATCCTGAAAATAAAGTTTTAGTAACAAATGTAACTAAATATTTCAAATGTAGTATTAAATAAAATTATTATCATTGACTTCGATATATTATATAAATATTATAATGTGCCGAATAAGTCTATGCGTAGATGATTTATTTTATTATTATATTTTTACATTCATACATATACAATAACGACTTCGTTAAAATTTTGCTTTATTTATTTATTTATTTATTGAAGCATATCCCAACATCAAATAGTAGTAAATTATTATACTTAATGTATATACCATTGGAAAAAATGATTTAAGTGAAGACAAATCACTGCATGTCCGTTTAAGAATACATTAGTTACAAAACAGAGTTCGCAGTTTAATAAATAATTAGTATTTTTTATGCATACTTTACATATTACATATGTAAACGACCTCGACCGAATGGTACCTGACTTGAAATGGAACAAGTAGTAAGGTTAAGCTCTGAAATCAAATACAGCAAGGTATTTTACATGTTTGTCAACATCATACTCGAGAGAATACACTTATTGCAATTTGCAACAAAAAATTGGTTGGACAATTTTAGGAAGTAGCAAATTTAAACCAAATTTCGTAAATACCTGAAAAATTAACTGTTATGTTTATCCCCAGTCAATGGAAACTGGTCACCATGGACTAGTTGGAGACCATGCTCAGTAACTTGTGGAAGAGGAAAGAATTATAGAATACGAACTTGTATTGTAATTCAAGGTCAAGTTGCAAACTGTAATGGTTTTTCTGCACAGTCAAAAGACTGTTACAACATAGCATGTGCAAGTTAGACTTTGTTTAAGTTTTGCTTTATTTATTCCGTGTCATGTTTGATTTTCTTATTTTTATTACAATTCACTTTGAAGCATATCCCAACATCAAATAGTAGTAAATAACAATTATTGATTCATATACCGTTGGCAGAAATGGTTTTAGTGAAGAAAAATAAATGCATGTCTGTTAAAGAAGACATTGTTTACAAAATAAAGTGCAGTTTAAATAATTTGTATTTTTTGTATGCATACTTTGCATATTACATAGGGAAACGACCTCGACCCAGTCCCTGACTTCAAACTTAACAAGTAGTTAGGTTAAGCTTTAAAATTAAAAACAGCATGTAATTTCACATATTTGTAAACATCATACTCTAGCCTGTCGAGAGAGAACACTTATTGAAATCTGTAAGAAAATATTTGGTCGGACAAATTTATGAAGAAGCAAGTTTAAACACAATTTCCTAGATACCTTGAAAATTAAAAGTTTTTTTTCCCCAGTAAATGGAAACTGGGGATCATGGACTCTTGATGGACCATGCTCAGTAACTTGTGGAGCAGGAGTGCAGACAAAAAGACGAGTCTGTAATGATCCTGCTCCTACACAGGATGGAAAGCCATGTGATGGTGCAGAAACTATATTAGAAGAATGTAACAAGGAAGCATGTGCAGGTAAGACTTCGTTTAAGTTTTGCTTATTTATTCCTTGCCGTGATTGATTTTCTACTTTTCTATTACAATTGACTTTAAAGCATATCCCAACATTAAGTAGTAGTAAATTATAATTATTCATTTATATACCGTTGGCAAAAATGATTTAAGTGAAGAAAAATAAATGCATGTCTGTTAAAGAAGACATTGTTTACAAAATAAAGTGCAGTTTAAATAATTTGTATTTTTTGTATGCATACTTTGCATATTACATAGGGAAACGACCTCGACCCAGTACCTGACTTCAAACTTAACAAGTAGTTAGGTTAAGCTTTAAAATTAAAAACAGCATGTAATTTCACATATTTGTAAACATCATACTCGAGCCTGTCGAGAGAGAACACTTATTGAAATCTGTAAGAAAATATTTGGTCGGACAAATTTATGAAGAAGCAAGTTTAAACACAATTTCCTAGATACCTTGAAAATTAAAAGTTTTTTTTCCCCAGTAAATGGAAACTGGGGATCATGGACTCTTGATGAACCATGCCCAGTAACTTGTGGAGCAGGAGTGCAGATAAAAAGACGAGTCTGTAATGATCCTGCTCCTACACAGGATGGAAAGCCATGTGATGGTGCAGAAACTAGATTCGAACAATGTAACAAGGAAGCATGTGCAGGTAAGACTTCGTTTAAGTTTTGCTTTATTTATTCCTTGCCGTGATTGATTTTCTACTTTTCTATTACAATTGACTTTAAAGCATATCCCAACATTAAGTAGTAGTAAATTATAATTATTCATTTATATACCGTTGGCAAAAATGATTTAAGTGAAGAAAAATAAATGCATGTCTGTTAAAGAAGACATTGTTTACAAAATAAAGTGCAGTTTAAATAATTTGTATTTTTTGTATGCATACTTTGCATATTACATAGGGAAACGACCTCGACCCAGTACCTGACTTCAAACTTAACAAGTAGTTAGGTTAAGCTTTAAAATTAAAAACAGCATGTAATTTCACATATTTGTAAACATCATACTCTAGCCTGTCGAGAGAGAACACTTATTGAAATCTGTAAGAAAATATTTGGTCGGACAAATTTATGAAGAAGCAAGTTTAAACACAATTTCCTAGATACCTTGAAAATTAAAAGTTTTTTTTCCCCAGTAAATGGAAACTGGGGATCATGGACTCTTGATGAACCATGCCCAGTAACTTGTGGAGCAGGAGTGCAGATAAAAAGACGAGTCTGTAATGATCCTGCTCCTACACAGGATGGAAAGCCATGTGATGGTGCAGAAACTAGATTCGAACAATGTAACAAGGAAGCATGTGCAGGTAAGACTTCGTTTAAGTTTTGCTTTATTTATTCCTTGCCGTGATTGATTTTCTACTTTTCTATTACAATTGACTTTAAAGCATATCCCAACATTAAGTAGTAGTAAATTATAATTATTCATTTATATACCGTTGGCAAAAATGATTTAAGTGAAGAAAAATAAATGCATGTCTGTTAAAGAAGACATTGTTTACAAAATAAAGTGCAGTTTAAATAATTTGTATTTTTTGTATGCATACTTTGCATATTACATAGGGAAACGACCTCGACCCAGTCCCTGACTTCAAACTTAACAAGTAGTTAGGTTAAGCTTTAAAATTAAAAACAGCATGTAATTTCACATATTTGTAAACATCATACTCGAGCCTGTCGAGAGAGAACACTTATTGAAATCTGTAAGAAAATATTTGGTCGGACAAATTTATGAAGAAGCAAGTTTAAACACAATTTCCTAGATACCTTGAAAATTAAAAGTTTTTTTTCCCCAGTAAATGGAAACTGGGGATCATGGACTCTTGATGGACCATGCTCAGTAACTTGTGGAGCAGGAGTGCAGATAAAAAGACGAGTCTGTAATGATCCTGCTCCTACACAGGATGGAAAGCCATGTGATGGTGCAGAAACTAGATTCGAACAATGTAACAAGGAAGCATGTGCAGGTAAGACTTCGTTTAAGTTTTGCTTTATTTATTCCTTGCCGTGATTAATTTTCTTATTTCTATTACAATTGACTTTAAAGCATATCCCAACATTAAGTAGTAGTAAATTATAATTATTCATTTATATACCGTTTGCAAAAATGATTTAAGTGAAGAAAAATAAATGCATGTCTGTTAAAGAATACATTGTTTACAAAATAAAGTGCAGTTTAAATAATTTGTATTTTTTGTATGCATACTTTGCATATTACATATGGAAACGACCTCGACCGAACAGTACCTGATTTCAAACTTAACAAGTAGTAAGGTTAAGCTCTAGAATCAAATACAGCAAAGTATTTCACATGTTTGTCAACATCATACTCGAGAGAGAACACTCATTGAAATCTGTAAGAATATTTGGTTGGACAATTTTAGGAAGTAGCAAATTACACCTTACAATTAAAAGTTATTTTTTCCCAGTAAATGGAAACTGGGGATCATGGACGCTTGACGGACCATGCTCAGTAACTTGTGGAGCAGGAGTGCAGACAAAAACACGAGTTTGTAATGATCCTGCTCCTTCACAGAACGGAAAGCCATGTGATGGTGAAGAAACTAGCTCAGAAGAATGTAATAAGGAAGCATGTGCAGGTAAGACTTCGTTTAAGGTTTGCTTTATTTATTCCGTGCCATGCTTGATTTTCTGATTTCTTTTATAACTGACTTTGAAGCATATCGGTCCGTTTATATTTGCGTCCATTCGTTTTTATTTTGAAATATCAAAAACAAAAAACAAAAACCGAGAGTGTTTTCATTTTTCGTTTTTGATTTCTCAAAAACCAAAACGGAAAACGAAAGTGTTTTCATTTTTTGTTTTTGATTTCTCTAAAACCAATATGAAAATAAAAAGTGTTTCCGTTTTTCGTTTTTGATTTCACTAAAGATGAATGTAATTTTAATTATTCTCGTTTTATAATGTACAATTTTTTCCTTTCTTGTTTCACAGTCATTGATAGTAAATAATGTCAATGTAAACACCCCGGTGTTCTTTCAACATAATGTAGACAAAATAGACCGCCTGACTTATGAATTGAACTACGGTGATAAATGAATCAAAGCCTTTCAAATTACCTTGTTTATATCTTTACTAAAAAAATTATTATATTTAAATATTAAACGAATCATAAATTTAAATTGTACAATATAATATTATATAAGTATCGTACAAATAGATAGATTGAATACAATATCACATTAACAAGGGAGGTTACTACTTTTAAAACTGATAAGAAAACTCGCCCAGTCCTTAAAGTATACATGCACAGCGGTTATCAGATCTATAGTATTTAAATCGAAGTTAATGTCGACGGATGCAAAAGTCTTTATCAATCTGAACAATAAGGGTGCGTTATCTTTACTTTTAAGTTTAGAAAGGTTGATCTAAGATGATTAGAATTGAAGACCAAGGTCCATCTGCCAGTATTATACGAACATTCAGGACGATAATGTGTTTTGCTTGATCAATTGATTGAAAAACAAATTTGCGCAATTTCACAGTTCAAACCGGGATAAGCATTCAATCATTTTGCCATTTGGAGCCTATTCGGTATTAGTTTTGCTTATTTGTGAAAGTTATATGGTGACCTGAACTGGAGGGTGTGGAAGGGGGGGGGGGGGGGGGTACATTTACGGAATAGAGAATAGTGGGCAAAAAATATATATAAAAGAGACAATGAACCAAGACATGAAAAAAATAGAATAATGAGGTGTTTAAATATGAATAGAACAAAATAATTGGCAAAAAGTAAAAAGAAATAAAGAATAGAGATAAATGGCCTAAAACACTAATTAAAGAATAGAGAAAAATGGTATAACATATCAAAGAATACAAAAATGAAGAACCCCGCATCCAGACCATCGTACTAGTTGCCTAAACCAACGTTATTTTGTTTCCGGTAGATTGTTATTGGTTATCATACGTTTTCTTTTTATTTCTGTGCCTATCAATTAAGACGTGAGCTTTCATGATTTGCCAGCTTATTACATTATAAAAACAGACTAAGCCGAACATCACCCTGGATTTTTTCTCAAGTAGACCTCAGATACCCACCCAACCACACCATTACCGAAAAGTTAATAAAAAAATGTCTACGGCAATACTTTTGTCCGCACTAGGTGCAAAAGGAAGCTAGGTAGCTGAGGTTTACTGTAGAAAAATCCATGGTGTTGTTCGGCTTAGTTTTTTTTTTCTAAAGTACATTTGTAGGTCCAAAGTTGAGGTCGGATACCCTACCCAACCCTTCCAGAAAAGATAATAAAAAAAAAATCTACGGCAATACTTTTGTCCGCACCAGGTGCAAACGTAAGCTAGAGATCTAGCGCATACTTGATCAGAATTCCTAGTTTAGGTATAGCACGGATTATTTTTTTAAAGCTAATAAATAATTTCCTTGTCCACCATACTTTGAGTACAAAAAATAAACCTTTCGTCCAATCATAAGTAAGCGAAATCCACTGGTTCAGAAGTAGAATCTTTTGTCAAAAAAGTTTAGTGTGGCAAACAAAAAAGTTAAAGCACGAGTGAAACTTTCTTTTCTTCTAATGCATCACAATAGTTACTTTTCATGAACTATTTGACAGGATGCCGAGAATATGGAAAGCTATTTCACACAATAGTGCAATTTTGCCAACATTTAAAATAATTTCATAATTATTTACGATTCTATATACACTCAAAAGTGTTGACTATTTAAAATGTAAAGCGTGCAGCACGCTGTGTGATATATTGAAAGCGATTTCTATTGCATTTATATAATTAATGAACAAGAAATGAAATTTTAAAATTCATTGAATAATGTCTTTGACTGCTTAATTATTTATCAAAAACTGATAATATAGTGGTTATATATTAATAAAAACATCTGAAGAACGTTTGAATCTTATGCAACATTTGAGTTTATATAAATATCTGAAAACTGGCTGCTAGCGAAGTGGCTGCTAGCGAGTGGCTGCTTGCTTGAGCCTGGTCTTACAAACTCCGCATTTTCATTCACGTCTTCACATTACAGGTTGCAACACCTTGCCAAATTATTGGGTTCCAATAAACGTTTAGCAAATTATGCCAATGTGCTTTCCCATGGGATTTTATACAGAACAATTACCGGAAATCTATGGTAGTTTGCAAAATAATTGTCAAAATCGAAATCTTACTAACAAAGTAGATACTCACATTAAAAAAGGTTGAGGCATTGAAGGCCAAATAAGTTTTTATATTTCACATTCTTACCTGTCTAATTGAAATCAGACGGTCATTGTAGAGTTCCAAGAAGTTTACAAATTAATTTAATACAATGGCAAAAAATAATGTAAAGTTTCATTGGTGAAATAATAAATTAATTAAGACTGAGAATGGAAATGAAGAATGTGTCAAAGAGACAACAACCCAACCAAAGAGCAGAAAACAGCCGAAGGCCACCAAATGAATGGGTCTTCAACACTAAGGGAAAATCCCGCAACCAGAGGCGGGCTTCAGCTGGCCCCCAAATAAAATGTATACTAGTTCAGTAAAAATGGACGTCACACTAAACTAGAAATTAAAAAAAAAAAACATACAAGACTAACAAAGGCCAGAGTCTCCTGACTTGGGACAGGCGCAAAAATGCGGCGGGTTTAAACATGTTTTGTGAGATCTCAACCCTCCCCCTATACCACTATAGCTATCCAATGTAGAGTAAACAAACACACAGCAATACGCACAGTAAAACTCAGTTTAAAAGAAGTCCATTCCGATGTCAGAATAGGTAACAAAAGAAACTAAGCAAAATGACAATGATTCATAACTTAACAAAGGATTACTAGCAGTAACTGACATGCCAGCTCCAGACCTCAATTAAACCGATTGAAAGATTATGTCTTCATCACATGAAAATCAAGCACAATTCCTCCTGTGAGGGGTTTAGTATCATACCGTCATTAAATGTACGAGAAGAAAATGACTCGTATAATGCCAACAACTGGTTTTAGAATTAATGTGGTTATTACCGATGCAAAAACCCTATAAGTGAATCAATATTAATACCAACATATGTCATCTTTAATGAACCTTTTTGTGTGATTATTTGATTACTAGACCAAATATTTCATGATTATTTGATTATCTAGGACTGTATTTTAGATTAATTAATTACCAAGTTTAGAAAATAAATGTGTGTGTATAGCAAACATCTAAAATTTGGCTTGAAAGACGTCAATGTTTTTCGCCTCGCTCCGCTCGGAAAAATTGTTAAGAATTAAATCCGAAGATTGAACGCGTCTGTCCAGTAATCTTATTAAAATTCATACATATATTAACGTGCTCATACATATAAGTATAACGAAATCAGAGATATATCTTGTAATTAGATTGGTTCGTCTAATTAAGTATTTTTATCCGAAGTAAATTTACTAACTTCTTTAATAGAGAATTTGAACAAGAATGTGTCCATAGTACATGAATGCCCCACTCGCACTATCATTTTCTATGTCCAGTGGACCGTGAATTTGCCGTCAGAACTTTAACTTGACATTAAAATTAGAAAGATCATAATATTATCATATGGAACATGTGTACTGAGTTTCAAGTTGATTGGACTTCAACTTCATCAAAAGCTACCTTGACCAAAAACATTAACCTGAAGCGAAACAGACGGATGAACGGAAGAACGAACGGACGCACAAACCGAAAAACATAATGTCCATAAATGGGACATAAAAAAAGTACTGAAATTGAATGAAGGTCTGGTAAATCTCAATGAGACCATAACAGGCATATCCAAATAAAGTTCCCTGAAGTCAAAGACAACTTCCCCCACCTGAGATCTATTTCCACTACTTCTGCAATATTAAATTTATCAATAATAATATAAATAGAAATTGTATGTATGTAAATTAAAAACGATCAGGGTAAACTTATCAATCCTTTAAATAAACTTATTTTAAAAGGTTACCAATTGAACACTGTAAATAGATCTCTGAATATTGTTTTAATTGGTATAAATATAAATTTTGTTATCAGTAACTTAAAACCATACTACATATTATTGTTATACACACCAAGGTACTACAATCTGTTGATACCTATGATTTAGCATTGCACAAGGTCATGTCTTTCTCTGACTGTTAATAACGTCTTTACACTAAGTCCATTGGATGTTGGATGTGTACTGATTGATATGTTAGTCTTAGATGCAGGATTTGTTTTATTAGTTGTTATTGGCTTTAAACTAGCTGTCAGTAACTGCGATTACTCTTAGATCTGTACTTTGTGTCATTTTTTTGTTTATTAAGGATGTATAAATACCCTGCCACGTCCGGTCTGTGCTTTTGTTAGATGTTTTTTTCCCCTGTTTTTATCGATCTGATATGTTAAACCCTTTTCAACTGATTTTCATAGTTTGTTCTTATGTTGTGCTGTAACAAAACTGTCCCAGGTTAAGGGGAGGATGAGGGCTCACAAACATGTTTAACCCCGCCACATACTGTATGTGCCTGTCCCAAGTTAGGAGCCTGTAGTTCAGTCGTTGTTGTTTGTTGATGTCTGTCATATTTGTTTTTTGTTTTATTGTGTTATAAATTAGGCCGTTATTTTTCTCAATTGAACTCTTTCATATTTTTCATGTGAGGGCCTAGTATACCTGACTATACTGTATGGTTTTTTTTCTCATTGTTGAAGGTGGTACGGTTGCCTACATTGTATATATAACTGTTTACAGCCACTTCATTTGAACTTTGGGGATAGTTGTCACATTGGCAATCATACCACATCTCCTTATTAAAAAATGTTGAGGGGGTTGAAATTTGTATTTCTTAGAAAAGTTCCAATGTTTTCTTCCCAGGTCACCCAGTTTTAATTGGATATTTTTACATTTTGCTGTACCCTTGGATTTGTGTTTAGAGCCAACCAGAGCTTACTGCCTTTTGATGGGTAGTTGAAGACCGTATTGTGAGCTCTAGTTGTCTTTTTGTGTATTGCATATGGTGATTTGGTGATGTCTTCATGCCATTGTCCCATTACTTTGTATAGACAGCTTATAAGTCAACCTTATCTTTCAAAGACGACAAATGATGGCCAAAGCTCTCCTGGGCTTTTGTATAGTCAGGCGAGAAACAATATATAAACTGATTTGGCTTGGTATAAACATGTATATTTAGTAAACTCGAATAAATTCTAGTCAAATTAATATTTTAAGACAACAAAAAATATAAAAGTGTAAAAAAAAATGTTTTTAATACATGTTGAAAATATTATTAGGGCCCCGCCGAATGGCAGCGCCCTATAGTGATCAGTCTGTCCGTCCGTCCGTCCGTCCGTCCGTCCGTCCGTCCGTCTGTCTGTCTGTTCGTCCGTCCCTAACAAATTGTGTCCACTCTATATCTAGAAAACCGTTACAATTTCAAAGTTTATACTTGACATGTATATTAACCAACACCAGAGGGTGTGTCATAATGTATGTACAAATTCCTAGGTCAAAGGTCAAAGTCAAAAACTTTGGTTTCAGTTGAGAACCCCATGTCCTATGGTAAATATCGTGTCCGCTCTATATCTTGAGAACCGTTATGATTTCAAAGTTTATACTTGACATGTATATAAACCACCACCAGAGGGCGTGTCATAATTTATGTACAACTTCCCAGGTCAAAGGTCAAGGTCAAAAACTTTGGTTTCAGTTGACAACTCCATGTCCTATGGTAAAGATACAATTTTTTTAATGCACATTATTCACAGCGGGGCCCACAGATATGGCTCCCATCTCAATGATATCTAGTTGTATTTGTGAGTGGCCGTGGATAAACGCATGTTTTATGGTCTGGATTAAAAAAAGTATTAACTTCGGGTACAAATCCCTGCCCCACCCCAGAGAATCAAATGGTTGCTTCCTTGGGAACAATAGAGATTGAAGATGTTGAGAATGAATATCAGATAATATTGTTTTGTTCTGCGGCGACGTTAAAGGAACACCAATCAGTTAATCGATCTTTATGACTATGACTTCAGTTGTGTTATATTCCTTGTTGTAAAAGTTCATTTTCTGCTTTGTGTAGACTTATTAAAACTTGGAATAGATCTACGAAGACTAATGAACGGTCATGTGTGGTTTTGCAATTTTATATGCCTACCGATGTCTAGATATGATACGATGCTACCGGACATAAAAAAAACTGTCCCTTTTTCATGGAAAATTAAACTGTTACAGTATATTAAAGAATACAAAACTGGCTCTATTTTCTGTAAATACAAATAAAAAGCTGACATGGGTTAAACTAAAGCTAGAAATCCCAATCTCCCGACATCAATTCATTTAAAAAGACCATTTATATATTTGTAAAAGAAAAACCATTAAAGGTCAAAGTACGGTCTTCAACACGGAGTTTTGGCTCACACCGAACAGCAAACTACAAAGGGCCCCAAAATAACCAGTGCAAAACCAATCTAACGGGAAAACCAACGGTCTAATCTATATACTAAACGGGAAACGAGAACACTTATGAACCACATCAACAAACGACAACTACTTCACATCAGGTTCCTGACTTAGGACGGGTGCAAACAAATGCAGCAGGTTTAAACATTTTAATAGGTACCAAAATCACCCTTACCCGAAACACTAGTGTAACATATGACCTTAAAATTTAACGTTGAAGGGCTAAACTTGCATTGAGCCTTGTTTAGGCCCTAAAATAGAAAATAAAGAGAAGTGGAGTAAATGTGCATGGGACAACATCGCACACAATACATAGAAAAAATGAAAATTATCAATGAACAGGGCTTTTATTCCTGTTCTTCATCTTGAAAGTAGCCGGAGGGTCTTCAACGAGGCAACGAACCATTCATACCCTAAAACAACAGCCACACACCTGACTATGTGGATTACAATGTTTTGTTTTATCCTACATATGTCTTTTGATGTTGTCCCTAAATTCTAAAAGTCTTACACTGAATCTATATATTTTGATATATTGTCGAAAAAATAAATAAAACAAAACTTGCGTTTTAGATTAAGAAAGGGTCCGAAAGAAACGTTCAGAATGCACGATTTTGCGTCATTTTTTCCAGATCTTTTTGGGCCTTGAGCCCTAGACCCCTCGCCCAAAATAAATTTTGCTTCACTTGTAATAGAGGCTATAGTTACGGCCCTGTCTTATCACCTTAGATCAACCTTTCTAAACTTAAAAGTAAAGAACACGCACCCTTATTGTTCAGATTGATAAAGACTTTTGCATCCGTCGACATTAACTTCGATTTAAATACTATAGATCTGATAACCGCTGTGCATGTATACTTTAAGGACTGGGCTAGTTTTGTTATCAGTTTTAAAAGTAGTAACCTCCCTTGTTAATGAGATGTTGTTATCAATCAATCTATTTGTACCATACTTATATAATATTATATTGTACAATATAAATTTATGATTCGTTTAATATTTAAATATAATATTTTTTTTTTTAGTAAAGATATAAACAAGGTAATTTGAAAGGCTTTGATTCATTTATCACCGTAGTTCAATTCATAAGTCAGGCGGTCTATTTTGTCTACATTATGTTGAAAGAACACCTGGGTGTTTACATTGGCATTATTTACTATCAATGACTGTGAAACAAGAAAGGAAAACATTGTACATTATAAAACGAGAATAATTAAAATTACATTCAAAATTCATCTTTAGTGAAATAAAAAACGAAAAACGGAAACACTTTTTATTTTCATTTTGGTTTTAGAGAAATCAAAAAAAAAAAATGACAACACTTTCGTTTTCCGTTTTGGTTTTAGAGAAATCAAAAACGAAAAACGAAAACTATTTTGTTTTTCGTTTTGGTTTTTGAGAAATCAAAAACGAAAAATGAAAACACTCTCGTTTTTTGTTTTTTGTTTTGGATATTTCAAAATGTAAAACGAATGGACGCAAATATACACGGACCCATAACCCAACATTAAATAGTAGTAAATTATGGTAATTAATTTATATACCGTTGGCAGAAATGATTTTAGTGAAGACTCTCAATGCATGTCTGTTAAAGAATACATTGTTTACAAAATAAAGTTTGCTGTTTAAACAAATCGTATTTTTATGCATACTTTACATATAATATATGGAAACGATCTCGACCGAACAGTACCTGACTTCAAATGTAACAAGTGGTAAAGGTAAGCTCTACAATTAAATACAGCAACTCGAGAGAGTACACTTATTGAAATCTGTAAGAAATATTTGGTTGGGCAATTCTAGGAAGTAGCAAATTATACCTTAAAAATTATAAGTTATTTTTTCCAGTCAATGGAAACTGGGGATCATGGGGTATTTATGGATCATGCTCAGTAACTTGTGGAGCAGGAGTGCAGATGAAAACACGAGCTTGTAATGATCCTGCTCCTTCACAGAACGGAAAGCCATGTGATGGTGCAAATACTAGCTCAAAAAATTGTAACATGAAAGCATGTGCAGGTAAGACTTCGTTTAAGTTTTGCTTTATTTATTCCGTGCCATGCTTGATGTTCTTTTTTCTACTATAATTGACTTTCGGAAGACGTAATTTGTTTTTTGAGTAAAGACATTTTTTATAATAAAATAAATACTATACAATACCTAGAAACAGAAAATTTAAATTGCCTGTTTTTTATTTAAGAAAACAACCAATACAAACGCAAGACTTCAAAGCTTTTTAGTAACATCGAAGGAATATGCTTTGTACTTATAAATAAAGGCAACAATAGTATACCACTGTTCGAAACTCATAAATCGATAGAGATAAAAACAAATCCGGAATACAAACTAAAACTGAGGGAAACGCATCAAATATAAGAGGAGAACAACGACACAACAAAAACACAACATTAAAATGTAACACACACAGAAACGAACTATAATGTAACAATGGCCATTTTCCTGACTTGGTACAGGACATTTTAAGAAAAAAATGGTGGGTTGAACCTGGTTTTGTGGCATGCCAAACCTCCCGCTTTTATGGCAATGTTAAATATAACATTAAAATGACAACATTACATGACATGACTACAATATAAATAAATGGGAGAACATATAGGACAAAGAAACACACGAATTATAGCTAACAAAAGGTACTAGGTTTAAAATTTAATACGCCAGACGTGCGTCTCGTCCACACAAGACTAACCAATGACGATCAGATGAAAAAAGTTTGAAAGCCAAAACAAGTACAAAGCTGAAGAGCACCGAGGACCAAAACTTCCAAAAAGTTGCGCCTAACACGGCCAGGGTTTTCTGCTTGGGACAAGAACATCCTTATTATTTAGAATAATTTATACTTTTGCAAACAGTACGTTTTATAAAATGACTATATAATAGATATACATGATACAATCGAAGTGGGGACTAACTACAGAATAAAAACGGATACATTACATAAAACAACTTAATCCAACACATAAAAATACACAGCCGAGCTAGCCAAAGCCTCAACGCACAAAGTGACGTCACATTTGAAATTCTAAAAAAAACACACAAAGTGACGTCACATTTGAATTTGTAAAAATATTTCCCAAAAATAAGATAGAATTAGGATTGATTCAAGATTAGATTTGTAATACTGACATTACATTTATTAATAACAATGAAAATTACAATACTATTAATATCAAATTGTGGTAGTAATTAGATAATTAATTGTATTATCTAGCTATGTCGGTGTTTCTTCTGAATCAAACTGTAAACCAAATATATCGTATAAATTTCGTTGAACCAAACTAAAATCTAATAAATGAAGGGGGTGATTAATTATCTTTACCATAACACACGAATATAACAGAAAAGACGTTAAGACATTTGACAAAATCCGACGAGAATAACAAATATAACATCAAAATAAAATACATGAATTTGGGATAGAAAAGTACCGTGACACGTCTTATAGCAATGCGGTTTCACACTCAGTAGATGGTTTATAAAGATATGATAAATATAACGAATGGGTTCCTGTCATACTACATTTTAGTCTGGTATTTGTGATATGTTTTTACAAGTTATAGACATAAAGTTATTTGCCGATCTACAAAAAGTAGGGTAACATTGGTTTCATTCAAAATTCGAATGCAGAGATAATGTATTGGAACATACGAAATAAAAAAAATATCAGTCCTTGGATGGTGTAAACTTCCCACTAACACCATTACACCATACACCCTGTGCCATTACACCATACACGTTAAACCTTTGCACCATACACCTTACACATTACACCATAAGGCAATTTAATTTCAAATAAAGCGTGCGACTACAAAATTATTTATTTATTTTAAAAAAACGAATTTTGATCACAATATTGTAAATTAATGTATAAAATTAAAAGAAATCAGTTCTTATCAATATTTTTAGTTTTAAATGTCGTACACCATTCCTGATCGCACGTTACACCATTACACCATCCCCCTTACACCATACACCATAGTACCATACACCTTCTACCATTGCACCATATGCCATACACCATTACACCATACACGTTTTTTTCGGAAGTTTACACCATCCAAGGGCTGTAACACAAGCTTTGTGACATAAGAGAGTACTTCTCAGTAAGTATATGAATAAGTTAAGAGAAAGCTTTAACGCAATCTGTATAATCTAATATGTTTTTATTTATTTTGTAGATTGTCATCATGGACAGTAGATAATGCAAATTGCAGCAGCCTACGTGCAAAGTTTAATGACAATGCATGATGTTCCTGTATCAAAAATAAAATTTGCTGCATTTTTACTGATCATAAATGAATGTGTCGTCTTTTTTATTTAACACACCAGGAAAAAATGTTTTCTGCTTTTACGTTATGTTCGTTTTATACTTCGACGAATCATAACAAAATAGATGTAAGAAGATGTGGTATGAGTGCCAATGAGACAACTCTCCATCCAAGTCAAAATTTATAAAAGTAAACCATTATAGGTCAAAGTACGGTCTTCAAAATGTCTATATTGATAAAAGATCAGGAATACACCTATTTCTAATGTAACTTTCAATGCTGACGAATTAACTAAATAATTTGGCTACCTTTTTCGGTGAGCAGTTTATTAGGTCTTTCCACTTTTCCGTGGAAATACCTTTTAAAATTTGCTTTTGTTCTTCCCCCTAATTTATTTCTTGCGCTGTATTGATGTTTCAGGAGATGTCGCTTAAATATTTTTATATGATATTGTACAGTCTATACGCTTTTGGAACTGATCTTGTTTAACAGAACACTTTTCTTTGTAAGATATATTTCCCCGAACACTGTTTTTCTTGTTATGACTACTCCTTCACAACCATAAAATATAGCGACAAATTAATTTTTCCAAATTGCTCGTTATATTCTCAGAATGTATAGAAACCATATATTTTTGGAATCAACGCACAGTTAGCTATCATCTGACACTAGAAATGATATTTTTAATTCGATTTTAATATTTTCATATCAGAATACATGGTTTTTTGGTGGAAAGACCTTCAATTGTTCACTGAACATTTTGTTTTTAATCATTGTCAGATTTTCTCAGATTTTCTTGATATGAAATCATATAAGAAATAATGTGACGGGGAAATAAATATCCTTATCTGGTAAGGTGAAGAAAAATATTGTCCGAGACAGCAAGAAAATTAATACTTTCTTTAATTAAATGCAGGAAATAATTTTGTACGAAAGAGAGAAAACATTTTTGCACAGTTAGATGGCCTAGAAACAGGGTATCAGAAATTCAAATTGTACCGTTTTAAATATGTGGTTCAGGATTCGCTTTTAAGCATCATAATCTTTTACATGCACTCGTTTTTTTCGTATGAAACGGGCTAGTTTAAATATACGTTAAACAAAAATGGCCATTTCGATATATACTGAACAACAAATTTATAAAGACATGCTTATTTTATTTTAATCGAATGTAAACCATTGTTGGTGTAGATTACCCAGCACTATCCTAACCCTTTACTTGTGTTCGAAAAATGCTGCATTTACTGAAAAGTGACTATACAAATGTTGATCAACTGCGAGCGGAACGTATACATTTATCTATTTTACTGCAAGAAAAATATTCGAATATTCTAGTAAACACAAATTTCGAGAAGGTTCACCGTTTTGGTGTTCAATCATAAAATATTATTCATATGAACTATGATTGTGATAATGTTTAGCGCCATTTGAAAAATAAGAAGATGTCAAAAAGGGGATCAAAAGTCGTCCTTGCAACAAATAGTCCAAAGAGGAAGAGACGATAAGACGGTGTACAACATAATACACAGAAAGCCGTTGATTAATCAGCATACATCCTACCATACAAGAAGGTGAACTGCGAGGCACTTAAAGGAGGGTCTGATTTGGGGTCCTTCATTTTTGTATTCTTTAATTTAAGGCCATTTTTCTCTAATCTTTATACTTTTTGTCCATTATTATCTATTCTTTATATTTATGCACCTCATTATTCGTGTTATTCTCTAATTTTTATATTTGTTTGTCCATTTGTTTCTATTCTGTAACCCAATCCGCACCTTCATAAAGGATAAGCAGTTCCTGTTAATTTATAACACCAGTTATGTAACAACTAATAAAATGCGGCGATTTATAATGGACATGTGGTTAAAGGCATCATATGAAAAAGATCGAAATATGCATACTTCATGTTTAAATTTTAACCATTACCTACTTCAAAAATAATTGCTACATGTTATTCTCTATCCCCAATACACAGGGGCGGATTCAGGCTGGTGTTCAGAGTACATGCGCTACAACAAAATAGGAAAAATTATCATTTTTGCAATTAAAAATACCGTCATAAAAGAAATTACTAGGGTCATGCTTCGAATTCTTCACCTAACCCTAAAATCCTGGACCCGCCCCTGATACCTGACCGGATCAATACAGCTGCAACTGTTTCCGAATAGGTAATAGACAAATATATTATCAACAGAAAAAAATCACAATACACTTGGTTGAAGCAAAACCAACATGAACCCAACTTAAGAATTTTTTAAAGGCTGCATATGATTCGTCTCTTTCTTTGTTGATGAAACGTATGTGCCATTAAGGATAAATCACTGAATGGGAAGACATTTGAAGATTTAATATAAAATGAAAACGCATCATTCAGTAACTGGTATTGACAAAGACGTCAATGAGATAGCAAGTGCATTTGGTGTTCCATTTATAAAGAAAATGAGATGTGGAATTGCTTGGGATTTTTGCAAGCACATCGATTTACCCTGACTGTCGCCAGTCATTCACACGTACTTTATCAACATTAACAAGCTAAAACAATCAAAAAGATCACATGATATTAGAATTAATCGTTAGAACTCATAAGCGATACTATGATAATAATTTGATACGACAGACTCACAAATAAAATACAGACATAAAAAGTAAAAAACAAAAAAACTCTTGGTGAAGGGGACCTCAAAGTTAAATTTTTTTCAACCTTATTATATGTTTAGTTTGTTTTCCATCATAATGTAACATTGTTTAATTATTTTACATTCTACTCCTTGAGTATTAAAATATGAAATGTTCTTATTTGAATTAGGAAACGGATTACTATAAGTTAACAGCTTGCTTCCGGATCCTACTTATTATTCAATTGTAATTATATGTTAATGCCAAATTGTGTACATTATCTAACTTGAATTTAATTAATAAAATATGTTTACACTAAGTAAGATAAAAATAAAGACCGGGAAAGTTATCCAACAAAGAATCTTCTAGCTGTTAATTATTTTATCAATACGACTTCTAAAAAAATTGAATGAAGAAGTGCATAATTTCTTGTCTAAACATGTTATTTTTTTAATTTTATCTTGTGTGCAGAACACATATTTGTTAGACGCCGAGGTGTCACAGAACTTAGCAGCATAGCATATACTTTATGCTGGCTATGAGGACAAAACACTTGCTATTGTCCGAATTATACAAATGGAACAGATTTCGAGACAACGCAATGTTATTTTCTTTATACTACAACTCTTACAACTTTTCCAAAATGAAATATTTTGGGTAAACCGTCAATTTTGAATTTGAAACTGGCGACGTATTAACCGGCCTTAGAGTGCCGCGTTTTTTTGTTGTTGTTGGTAAAATACCGCGAACCCATATCCTTTGTCATAAAAAGTAAAATAAAAATACCGAACTCCAAGGAAAATTCAAAAATGAAAGTCCTTCATCTAAAGGCAAAATCAAAAGCTCAAATACATCAAACGAATGGAAACAACTGTCATATTACTGACTTGGTACAAGTATTTCCTTATGTAGGAAATGGTGGATGAAACCTGGTTTAATAACTACCTAAACCTTTCACTTGTATGACAGTTGTTTAGAATTCTATCATATTGGCAACAATGTGTGAGCAAAACAAACCGACATGATAGGTAAAAATGTCAAAAATTGGGGTACAGCAGACAACATTGTGTTATTATCTTAATTACTGTAAAAACAAATAACTATTTCAACACAAACACATAAAATGGCACAAAGACACTCTATAGACAAAGTACATAACAAAAAATGAAAGACAGGAACACAAAAATAACCATAGCACAATACCACAATGGCGGGATGTATAAATACCGAGCCACGCCAAAAGTGTATTAACAAAAATGAATTCAACAGTAAAGGTTAAAAATATACGAAGCAAAGACAAAAAAACACAACCCACTATAACACGTAATTAGGATGATACACAACGTCAATACCTAGAATCTATTCTTCAAGACTGTTATGATATTGTAATTATCATGTTTATTTATCTTGGCCTAATTTGTTTTGTGTGGCCTAATAAGATGTTTACATAATTGGGTTATAGTTGTTTACAAAATAATGTAATAATTGTGCAGTTTAGAAATCACAAGAACAATCATAGATACTGATGGAATGATTAGAACTTTCTATTTGACTTGCATAATAATTTCCGGAATGATCATAATCTACGATGCGTAATTCAAACTTCTACTGTAATCTAGAAGTTTCTCTTCTAAAGTTTTCAAGTAGTTTCCCTTCTAAAGTATACAGCTACTTAGATCCATCAGTATAGGAAAATACAAAGCGCTACTCATCCACAAAGACCAAATTGTAGTAAATCCTTATGCTAAATGCAACAAGTGTTTACAGACGGGACACACACAAGAGACCTGTGACAATGACTGGGTGTGCAACTCCTGTGGCAAATCCGGTCATAAAGCCAAAGAATGTCAACAACCGATGGACGATCCAGCAGCAGATCAAGATCAGAATGGTGATGTTCCTGATAGTGTACCTGAAGCTGCTAACGTTGATAACGTTCAAGATGAAACTAAAGATAAGCAACCTGCAAGTGAAAGTAGTGATGATTCAAATGATGATAGCGAAGATGATGAACAACAATTAGTAGTCTTAAAAGAACGTAAACAAATTACTACGAACAAAGAGCAGACAAACAAAAAAGACAAAAAGACAAATAAAAAAAAATCAAACAAAAATAAATCAAACAAACAAAATCTGCCCAAGTCAGCTTCTGGACCCATGGATCACTATATGAACTTTAAAGATCCTAAAACACCAAGCCAATCAACTGGGAAAAGGCAAGCAACAACACCGAACGATGAATTACATAAACGAGTAGTAGAGCCGACAAAACAGAAGACAAATCCCTAACCAGTGACCTAGTTAACTTTAATGT